AAAGGGTTAGAATTGACCTTCCTTCCTTCCAGGCTCAGTGACGGAGTACTCTTTTACTGTCCCCAGGAAAAGAGTTTTCTTGAGCAGTGCTAATGTAAAGAGGAGTCCCATAATCCAGGAAAATAATGGAGTCTTGTAACAGTATCTGCAGCCTTCATAAGCTCTGCATCAAGTCCAGCCCAGATCTGTAATGACCAGAAAAAAAAAAATTACTATCTGATGGCTTTTTACCCTTATCCTCACCCAGCTGAGGGTGGGTTGGATCCCAGCTGGCTTTGTCTGATGGTGTGGTTGTAATTCACAGGAATGCCACAGCATTTGAATACCTGGAAGAGTACCCCACTGGAGTCCTGGCCGAACTGGAAATGCAGACTGGGAGAAAGGCTCCCAATGGGCTCTTTGTCATCATCATGGAGTATGGGAGGAATTTCTCTGGGGCTGACAAGGATGTCTTCTACTACAACCGTGCTGTGGGAGAGGCACAGCATGCCTGGCAGTCCAACTTTCTACACCCTGTTATTTACTATTACAAACGCCTTCCAACAGGTGAGTTTTCCTGCTAGCTATGTGATAGAATCAAAATAGAGAGGGATGAAGATAGTTCAGAGCCAGAGGAGGGGTGGGACCTGAAGGCATTGTTCCCCCTTCTCCATTTCCCTCATGTCCATCCTCTGAGACACCCGCCCACCACTGTGTGAGCTGAAAAAGAAGCTGACAGTTGGCAAGAAGTTTCCATCGGTCAGTACAGGGGGTAGCAGGGTGGTACTAGAAACCTCACACTTGAAAATAGGAACAAACAGGCATGCTGGAAGTCTCCCCATTCCCAGAAAGAACACTGCTTCCCTTTGGCTGGCACCCTGTGTGTATTTTGCAGAGCCTGGCAGATGAGGCTGGGCTGTTGTTGTTTGGCAGTGTTGCTGCCAAAAGAAAGCTACTCTGTGTGGCCGGCCCAGGTCTGAGAGGTCACACAGCCACAGAGGCAGCCAAAGGCAAGGGGTTTGAAGAGGAGTGTTATATCCAGCAAGCAAACACACTCAGAATAGATTTCCTTGGGAAATGAGTGTGTTGAGTCTTCATCTCCAGAAACCTAAGGTCAGGGTCCAGCCTGCCTTGCACAGAAATAAGCATGATGTGTAGCAGCATTAAACACAGCTTAGCCCGTCTGGCAGTCCCTGCCCAGGGGGAACAGGAGTGAAATGACAGGAATGCTGCGAGCAGGGACAGAGGGCAGCTGTGCAGTGGCAGGGCTGTTGAGGACAGAGCTAGCAGAGGGGATTGCAAATGAAAGCAAGGTAGGGATTAAAAGGTCAGGACAAAAGCTGAAACAGCTGTCACAGCTGCTTTCCATTCCCCAAGCTCTTTTTAATGCCATTTTGTTTCTAAGAGACTCCCTTAATGTTCTCTTGGCAGAGCGTGAGATGAAACTCCGGCCCCCAGAGTGGCCTCTCCCTCGTCCAGATGCCATTCATCACATTGTGGAGGACTTTCTGACAGACTGGACAGCCCCAAATGCTCACATCCTGCCACTGAGGCGCTTCTTGGAGAACTGCCTCAGCACCGACCTGCGCAGTTTCTTTGCAGGTAATTTGAACGCAGGGTTGAGGTGGCAGGAGGAGGAGGAGGAATGTGAGGGACAAACGACAGGAGGGATCTCTTCTGCAGATAGCTGAGATCTTTCTGTGGTGAGTTGCTTGTCTCACCATCCTCCTCAACAAGTCACACCTCCTCAACACAATCCCAGACAGTAAAAAGTGCCATTCTGTATGCGTATGTTCCCAAAGAGCTTTTGCTCTTGCTCTCCATTAGAAAGAGACTGGTCCAGGCATGCTAGGATTTAGGGAAAGGTATATGAGGTTGGGTTCAATCCCTTTTCTAGCTGCTGCTTTCCTTCTCCATTATCTGAACATTTCTTTGTACCATCGGGTACTAGATCTTATGTATTGATGACGGGATTGCTTTCCCATGGGAAATGAGAGTGCTGTGGTGTGAGAGCTGAAGACAGCCTCTGCTCCCTCCCTTCCTGGTCTGAAGAGTGGTCTGGGAACCTCCTGCAGGAAGCTCACATGGCACACAGAGGGAAGCAATCCTGTGGTACAAAGAAGATGCCAGATGGACACAACCTCAAATCCAGATCCTTTTTCTCCCAGAGTGCAGACTGGAGATCCCTCTCTGCATCTCCTGAGCTCTGCAGAACTAACTCGATTACTGTGCTGCCACCCAGGGCAGGGTCCTGGGTGGGAAACTCCCGTCATCTTCCCTCATCCTCTCTGCCTTTTGTTTTGAATGAGTCCTTGATAGTTTATGGGAATTTTTCCCTACAGAGTATCTCTGCTGAGTCTGATTTTTGATCCTTTCCCCTGCAGAGTCCTGTTTCCTGTTTGCCTTCACCCGTCAGAAGCTGCCCCCCTTCTGCCAGCAGGGATATGTGAGGATGCAGGGGCTCATGGGCAGCGAGGGGCTCCGGCGCCACGCGGTGCAAGCTGGACTGCTGCAAGATTACACCCTCACAGACTTTCCAGATGACAGACCCCCTGACAGCCACGACAGGTCAAGGGACCAGTTGCTGAGAGATCAAGTGATTCCAGTCCGTCCGTTGCAGCATCTCGTCAATGCCAAGGATGAGCTTTAACCTTTCTTGCTCTACACTGAAACCTATAGGTGCTGTTGTCTCAGTACTGTAACAGAGATCCACAGCAGGATTCTGCCCTTTTCCTGTGCCCTTTTTCCATCCCCATGCCTTCCCCTAATCGTGAGTTGCCAAAGACCTGCTCAGATCTTGCTGTTACGAAGAGGACCAACATCTTTCGGAGGATGAACAACGGGCCAAAATCCAGTGATGCTGAGGCTCCTGCGTTGTCCTTGCAGAGCTCAGAGTTGCCTGAAGGTGGTGTTTGTTTTTATCTGACTGACCAGTAACTGCAGCAACGTACAGAGGTCACAGAAGAGAGTGCAGGAACACCTGGGAAACTTAAAATGTCACATTCCGCTTTGGAGGTGACCTGCTTGCACCCTGTGGAGCCTGGTGCAGCCTCTCTGGTCTCTGGATGCTGTACCCTGTGTATACTTGAAGATCTGTTCCTGCATTGGGTCCCGAAGTGGTACTCCGGGCAAACTTTCAGTATTTTTCTTGCATTTGAGTTAGGGCAGTTGTGTAGCTTCAGGGGGGAGGGGTGTTTTTTAGTTACCATATAGGTCAGATAATTTATCATTTCCCAGAGAGCACTACAAGGGACCCTTCCTTCCACAGTGGGTGAGCAGCTTGCCTGGAATGCCTGGGACACAGAGATTGACAATGAGTTCAGCTCCACTGTCCTCATGTTTTTCTTCTCCCACACCAGGCAGCCTGGAAGGTTAGCCCTTTGTCTTTTATGAAGCATGACTAATATTTCTGCTGTTTGCACTACGTCCCATCAAGAAAGTTTGATGTTGTTAAAATGTTCCTTCTAATTTATTCCACTCCAGTCACCTTGAGATCCTACAGGGAGTGATTGGGAGGCTGTCTGCACTTTACTGCTCCCCCTGTCAGCCACATGCCCTCGCCTGTCTCCTCCTTGTGGGCTGCTTCCATGATCCTGGAGTTGAAAAGCGAGTGCAGTTTTGAGCTTGGCCTTATGACCTGTGATTTCTAGGAAACAGAGGAAGGGTGAGAGGGAACAGGCGTTTACCTCCACACATGTTTTCCAACGCATTAGCTTCTCAAAAAATATACACTTGTGCTTCCAGACTGGAAGGGGCTGTACCTTACACGTACCTAAGCTCTCCCAGTCCTTTGAATTCAGCTACTGTTTCTGTAAAACCCCAGTTTCTTGGAGAGGCTGGGGAGCAGAAGAGGTGAAGGAAATTACAAATGCTCTCTTTGGGAGTACTGAGCTGTGCTAGCAATGCTGCTGCTTCTGGAAGATCTCGCCTGTTCGTGTGCAGCTGGAGAGGGGAAACAATCACCTCAGTGGCATCAATCAGCATCTTTCTGTGGGCTTTACATCCCATTGCCCCAGCTCCAAGGCCAGACTGGGAATGGCTCTCATGGCCTGTAGTTGCCTGGGTGGTGCTACTACTTGCTACTACTACCATGGTCGTCTTGGCACCATGGGCTTTTTAATTTGGAATTGTCCAGGAGAAGAAAAGGGCTGAATCGGGTTGACCAGCTGTCCCCAAGAGCCAGTTTCATTTGTTCCCTGTGTGTGCTGACACAGAGTACATCCCTGTTGTACCAAGACGCATGCACATTCTCCAGCCGTTTCCTCTTCCATCCTCAAATTCCCACTGGAGAATGTGAATCTGTACATTCACAGTGTACATGTTGCCTTACATTGTGATTTCCTTTAGAAAAGTGACAGTCTAAAAAACTAGCACCTACCAACTCTTCCAGCATGCTCTGCATGTCTCCCAGGGTTGGATCTGGTGACTCAAACCACAGTGGTTTTGCTGGCACTTGCTTCCAGTTGGACTTGGGGAGCCGGGATCCGAGTCTTCGTGCTTTGGGTGCTGCTGAATGAGTGTTGCCCTCTCAGCCTTGTTCTGGTTGGGCTCCCCCCAGTGCTGGAGGTGGCAGGGGGTGAAGCGTTGGCTCTGAATTGTTTTCCATCAGGCACCGTGGTTAGGAATGCTGGTTTGTGTCCCCCGCGGGCGCAGGGTGTGTTCTGGAGGGGAGTTAATGGCTGTCTGGGGGGGTGGCAGGGCTGTGCACTGCAAGGAAAGTCCTTTGCCCAGCTCCGACCTGCAGAGAGCCGCCGGCCGGTGCCCCCGCGGAGGAGCCGCACCGGGAGCGGGAACGGGACCGGGAACGGGACCGGGAATGGGGCACGTGCGGAGGGCGGCGCCCATTGGAGGGCTCCGCCGCCAATCAGCGCTCGGGGTTTGCCCCGCAGGCCCCCTGCGGGGCGGAGCGAAGCAGCTTGAAGGACGGGCATGGCGGCCAATCAGAGGTGACAGGCCCTTGGGGCGGTGGCCAATCGGCTGAGGGGGCGGTGGTCTCGTTTTCGCAGCCATCCGGCGGCTGCGGCCAATGAGCGCGCAGGTGGGCGGGGCGGCGGGCGGAAGTGCGGCTGGGCGCGGGTCACCTCCTGGCCGGGAAGGTGCGGGGGGACCGGGCGGGGGGGGCTCTCCGGATGGCGCGGCCTCTCCTCAGGGTCGGGAGGGCAGTGGGGCCCCCGCAGCTGGGACTGTCCTCCGCCACTGGGCGGGGGGTCCCGGGGTCCTGTCACTGCAGGAGCTGCCGGGATGCCCCGGCTGGAGGAGCCCCGCGGTGCGGGGGCTGCCCCGGGGGTGGGAGGACACGGGCCGTAGCGGGGGGACTCGGGGGAGCGGGGCCCTGCGCCTGGAGGCCCCGTGGCCGTGGTGCCGGAGCTGTAGGGGGTGTCGGGCTGGGCACGGGGGCGGGGAGCCCTCCCGTGTGATCTTCCATCAGTGTTCGCTCCCGGGCACCTCCTTCCCTGGGGGCTGCCCTGCTGAGCGCTCTCGGCTCGGGGCGCTGCCGCAGTGGGACCAGCCATGGGGTGCCCCCCAGCCCACGATCCTCCCGCTGTCCCCACAGATGGCCCAGAGGCTGGCGCTGCGGCGGCTGCTGTCCCTCACCCCGTGGGGCCCCCCGGCACCCCCCTGCAGGGCCTTTGGCACCTCGGCGGGCCGCAGGAGCACCTTCAATGTGCAGGATGGCAGCGACTTCCAGGACCGGGTGGTGAACAGCCCCAAACCCGTGGTGGTGGATTTCCATGCACAGTAAGTTCCTCCCCGTCTGCCGTCACATGTGCAGGTGTGCCCTGAGTCTCCTGGCACGGTGGCACTGCGAGCACACCAGGGAGGAGCAGGCCCGAGGGCTTCCCAGGCTGTGGGGTCTGGTGTTACAAGGTGTTTCTGCCCATGGAGCTCAGTCCATAAAGATTTCACTCACAGCTATGCTCTGCAGCGGTGTCAAACAGCAGTGCTGGGAAGGCTTTCCCCAGGGTGTCCTTGCTGCACCTCCCAAGTGCTCAGGTGTCACCCCACCCCCGGCATTGCATCATCCTGCAAAAGGTACCTCAGGGAAAAAACTCTGATCTCTCCCCTACTTAGCTTTGTCCTCTTAGAAACATTAAATGTTGTTAACAGCCATGGAGGAGCTCTGTACTTGCTTTGCCCCAGCACTGCCACGTTGTGTCTTTCCAGGTTTCCTAAGTCTGCATGCTCTTGAAGCTCCTGACAGCAAATGCCTTTGGGTTAATAACAGCCCTGTGACACCAACAGCAGCATTTGTCATCAGTGAAAATGTTGTCATCCTCTTGCCAGTAAAAATATTCCTAGATGTTATCTACTGTGTTAACAACACTGATTATCTTTGTTTTTTCATGTGTTTTCGTAGTCCTGCAGTGCTGTCACGTCAGCCTGTGGTGGCTGACTGAGGGCAAACAGAGTACGAAGCAGCCCAAAAACTTCTGCTCTAAACAGACCAAGCTGGCAAACCAAAGTTGAACTTTAGTTGAGATCATCCAGGGAGGAGAGGACAAACAACTGAAAGCCTGAAACTTTGATAGAGAGGGGGGCTGAGGAGCAGCAAAGTTCACGAGAGCTTCAATTCTAAAAGAAAAGGGTACTTAGATCTTTAACTCATGTTTTGCTTGAACTGCAGAAGTTCATAGCATCCTAACTGATGCAGTTAGAGAATGCAGGGAGGACCCAGGGCCCTACAAAGCCTGCTACTGCTGCACCTGGGTCTGGCTTAGGTGGTCCCCCTTTGAACAGATGCAATGCCTATGCGCGTTTTCCAGCTAAAGGGGGTCTCTGTAAACCCTGCAGGGAGCGTGCGGGGGGGAAATCTGTGATTTGGTGATTGGCATAAACTGATTTGGGTGTGGTCTGCAAGACCGATGCTCGGCAGCAACACTTGCTGTAGGGCGGCAGGATCACAGCTCTGCACATGGACGTAAAGCTCGATGGGGATGAACAAGAAGAGGGGCAGGAGAACCAGCAAGGCTGGCAGAGCAGGCTGCGGTGTGATCGGCACGACATCCAAAGCACCGCAAATGCTGTGTGGTGACCTCTTCTTCCACTCAGCCCCTCCACCACACACACAGAAAGAACCCTTTGTTGAGGAATACATTCAGTGCAGGTGTCTCTGGGGTGCAGTTGCAAGGGAGCTGCAGGTTGAGCTCTGTGTGGGAGCCCCAGGCAAGAGGCTGTGAACTGCTGACCCTTTGCACAACAAATGGCTTGGGGACATGTGGCCCAGCCAGGTGATCTGACACTCAGAAACACAGCAGGAGCTGACTATACTGGGCTTAGACTGTAAGGGGATAAAAGCCCAAGGATTCCCTTGTTCAGGGTTCCTCCTCAAAGGCACCAGCTCCAGCTGTTACTTTGTTATTACACAAAGATTATTATTTTAAGGATGGGGATGTCTGAGACTGCTATGGGAAACCTGGGGACGAGCCAGCAAGGAAACCTGGTCTGAGTGTGAGTGTGGGGTGTGTAGCTGTGAAGGGGCCTCGGTCCCAGCTCAGGTGGTTTGAGTGTGACTGCCAGAGTGGCTTCTGGGAGGCTGAACACAAAGCTTCCTTAACACCTTTGGCAGCTCTTTTGTGAGAGGAGTGTTTTTCAAAGCCTTGGTTCAGGAATGTTGTTTCCAGGCTGGCTCCTGAATAGAGCAGCACTGGCATACCAGCACATCCTCCATGGCTGTTGCTGTGCTTGCCTTCTCTAATGTCCCCTCTCTTTTCTTGCTCCATCAGGTGGTGTGGTCCCTGCAAGATTCTGGGTCCCAGGTTAGAGAAGATGGTGGCCAAGCAGGAGGGGAAGGTGGTGATGGCCAAGGTGGACATTGATGATCACACAGACCTTGCTATCGAGTACGAGGTAGGAGGCGGAAGAGCACAGAGTTTCTTTGGCTGGCAGTGCCAAGAAGGTCGCTCCCTGGGGAAAGCTGTGCCTGCACGGCAGCGGCACTGGAGGGGAGGGGAAGCTCAGTGCCTACTGGTTCCTGATCCACTGGGTTGCTTGTTAGTAGGTGGATTTTGCTTCTTGGCTCTCCCAGCTCTGCTGGTCATGCTCAGCATTCTCGCCTCTGATTCTGCACAAAGGTGTCCTCTGGGACTTGCAGGCATCTGTCACTTGCCTGGCCTTGAGGAGCCTGGAGCGCATGGGGCATTTCGCTGCGAGCCTGGGCTGCTCGAGTGCAGGGCAAGAAGTAACAAGCCCCAATCTGCTCTGTTACTGAAAGTGGTTCTTTGTGCCACTGGTCCATCCTCTGTTTCCCTTCCTTGTTCAGGATCTCTAGCTGGGTCATAACATCCTATCCTTAAGCTGCAGCACAAGGAGACACCGTGCATTTTGTTTGGACAGGTAAAAGCCAGGTCAGGAAACACACATAAACAACAGGAGTAGGCATCCTGCTCTTGACAGGAGGGACCTTGGTGCTCACACTAATGTGTTAACACCACTGCTGGATGTGTTCCCTGTGCTGCCTCTCTCCCAGGAAGGAAAAGAACAACTGGAGAATGCTTTTGGTTTACATGATTTAGTTATTTTTTTCCTGTGATTAGGCAGTTTAAAAAATACAAAAGCTCTGGCGACTGTGCTCGCATCTGTTTTCTCTCCTTGTAAACAACAACTCTGTCTGTGGAGTCAGGGCATCCTGCTGTTGTGTTTTACTGGGAAGAAAGTGCTTGATTTTCACTTGAGTGTCACACAGATGGATCTGCTCCCCCTCTGCAGATGAAGTCCTGCTTCCAGGGTGGAAGATAGCTCAGGAAGCTCCTCAGACTGCCCTGCAAAGTGTGAACCATCTCCCGAGCAAGCTGTCATTTTGTTGAGCCTGGAGAAGACGCTGTATGCCATTCCCACACCCTGCCAAGCCAGAAGGAGACGGAAGTGGAAACAGCTTGTTCCCTCCCACTCTTTCCTGAGGGAGACGTTTCTGCCTGTGCTGTGGTGGCGTGTCCACACAGCTGGTGCCCACAGTCATGACTTGCAGCTCCCACAGGCTGAGCACAAGAGCCTCTGGTGTTCTTGGTGGTGGACATGCATTGGCAGATACTCCCCAGGCCAAGAAAGCTGGCTGCTGGCTCCTGAGCAGGGCTGGCATAGGCTGCACAGCAGAAGGGTCCTGGTGAGGAGTTGAAGAGGGTGAGGTGTTTTTAATGGTGGTCAAAAAGTGTGTAAATGCTAACAGGTGCAGGCGAGGCTGTGGCAGCAGCCATGCAAAGAAGAGAATATTAGCTCAAGTCTTGTATTGTTCCAAGCCTTCTAGTAGATCGAATTAGCTGGGATTACAAGAGGATAATCTCAGATGAGTGGAAAATGGCAAGCAGGGTGTGTGCATATGAAGAAAGGTCTGTGAAAAGAGGCTGAAAGTCACAAGTTGTGCAGGTTTAACGACACACTGCATGTGCTCTCCCACAGGGTGGTGAGTGAGCAGCTGCACTGTCCGCTGTGTGCACGTGTTTGTGTGCAGGGTCTGCCTGTCTGGCAGCCCTGGGGGAGAGGGGCAGGCAGGATTGAGGCTGCAGGGAAGGGTCAGCTTCTACCAGTTCATTCTGGAGCCTTATATACAAACATGATGAAGATTTCGTGTTGTAAGAGAGCGTGGGGATTATTGCTGCCTCCTCTGCTTTCAGGGTGATGTGTATATCTTGACTGGGCCATTATCCCCATGGCTAAAACCCCATCCCTGGGCAGTGTCTGAGTAGGATAGCTGCAAACAGGTAGGGGTAAAGGAAGAATTTTTGCTTTGATCTTCCTAGTTCGGGGCATCCTTTTCAAGGCAGAAGTTTGGTTCATGTGCTGAGCATGTGCTGGGTTTTGCTTTGTCTTCTGTGAAGTTGCCAGTTAAAAATATGTGAGTGCAAGGGCTGATGGGAAGACACCAAGTCAAGATCAAAGAGGGACCAAAGATAGTGTTCGGGAGAGATCAGGAAAACCAAAGGTGGTATTTAGAAGGGATCAGCAAACATTTGTTTTAAAGCCATTCCATTGGGGATCAGATGTCTGCAGGCTGAGAAAGTTTTTGTTTTGGGGGTTTTCAGTGTCCATGCCACCCCCACAACTCCTTCACTAGCTGCCAGGAAGTCTCCTTCCATCCATGTTTATTCCCTTGCCCACGCACACATACAGCCCCCCTCTTGCTGCCTGATTGCACTGTGTCCTAGTCAGCAGCCTCCTTGGCACAGGGGGAGGCAGGATGAGGGGGAGACCCCCTGGAAGAGCCAAGGAATGCTAGTGCATTCCTCTGCACAAGTGGCTGTCTGCCCTTGGCTCCCAGCCATCCTGGCTTAGCACGAAGCACGCACGGATGCAGTTCCTGTCACTAGTAATGTCCCCAGTGCCCTTCCCCGTCCAGTTATGCCCAGGACAAAAGTTCTTTCTCTGGGGACTCCTCCTTTTATCTAACACCTTTCATCTCTGGTTGGGGCCTGTCTCCACTGCTCCGGCCTGCTTCTGACCTCTCACCTCGAGAGCAGAAAGGGAGAAGAAATGCTTTTGTTTATCTTCAGTCTCTTCAAATTCTTTAGATTCATCTCTTGCCTTGGCCAGTTGCCTCTGTGTGTGGTCATTGGGAAAGGGCAGCCCCTTCTCCAGCCACTGTGGCTGGGCAGCTCAGAAGAGCTGCTGAGTACAGAGATGGTCGTTCATCAATGGAGCTCCATCCTGTGTTACCACCTCATTTGTAGGCCTGGGTGAAATCCTTCTCTCTGCTCTGTTGTGTGGCATCCAAGTTAGTATGAAAGCCCCAGTTTTAGATGGGAGAGAATTCCCGTGGTACGGGTGTTGCCAGGAATAACCTGGATGGCCATGTTTGTTTATTTATCTGTGTGGTCAGCACTGATCAAAAGCAGACTGACTTTTTATGTAGAAATGCTCTTGAGGGAGGAAGAAAGTTTGTTTAGGTTCAGTGCAGATGGGACCCAAAAAAAGAAGGGGGAAAAAAAATTAAAGAATGCCCTCAACTTTGCATTCTAAAATTCCCATGACATTTGCTTCTCAACCAGCAAAACAAAGTGCATGCTCTGTTAACAGGCTGCCCTTGCTGCAGCTGGCAGGAAGGAAGCTGACAAAAGCATCATGTTTTCTGAGCATAGGCAAGTTGCTCCATGCCCCTGGTTCTTGCCTGGCTCTGCAGCGCCAGGCACAGACCTTCCACTCTTCCTCAGGGTTTGCTCACCAGCACGAAGAGGGAAAGAGACGGAGGGGTTGAGGCTGTGTGAAGCTCGTGGGTGCTCTGGTTGGCACGCAGGGCCCAGTAACAGCCCCATTGGCTGCTCATCTTTGGTGCTTCCCGAGATCGGCCTGTTCCTCACCCAGGCCCTAATGGCCCGATGCTTGCTGTTGCTGTTTCTTTTGGTTGGAGCTGGCGCAACTCTGCTCAGCATTAACCCACTGTGGAAAGTAGAGGGAGGCTCAGTGGAGATTTGCCCTTCTCAGGAAGGGAGTGACCAGTTGAGTGCCATGCTGGTACTGTCCTTTCTCGCCCCTAAAACCACAAGGAAACGTTGATGTTCATCGCCAGCGCTGGGGCCCGAGCCCTGTGTCTGTGCTCCCTCCAGTCACTAGGAGGAGCTGAAGATCCTGCGTTGCAGTAGCCCCGGCGCTCCCATCGCTTCACTTCATGAGACTGCAAAGCCCTGAAGAACAGACTGCAGAGTCTGGCTGGGACTGGGTGGGAAGGGAAGAAGACAAAATGTCCCTTTCATATTAGGCTCCCAGTGGGAGAAAAGCCAGCCCTCTAGTGGGTTTCTAGAGGAGGGATTTACAGATTCTTGTTGGCAGCAAGGCTGGCAATGCACATGAGAAGGCCCCGCAGGCTAGAGGAGAGTCAGTGGGTGAGATAAGGACAGGACGTGTTTTGATGGGGAGACTTTGCAGAGATAAGGGCATTGAAGCTGTAGGGTCAGAAATGTGACCAGATCTTCTAGTGCTGCAGCTCTCCAAACTCTGATTCTTCAGAGTGTCCCTGGGGCCTCTGCTGTCACCAGTCAACCAGCAAGTCCCTGGAGAGTGTTGTCATTTCCAACGCTGTTCTCTTGGATAATTCCCAGAAAACTTTGTTCTGATCTAAAAAAGCAGTGCCTAGAGCAGCACAGCTGCCTGCTGGCTCTGGTCAGAAGGACTTTTTCACTTCTTACCTAATCATCAGGGATCTGCAGTGAGTGGCCATTAGTGTATGACCAGATGAACCACTGAAAACAGCAGTGGAAAAGGAAAGATAGGTTGGAGGGGATTGTCATTACCATGATATGATGGAGCAGGAAATCTACCAGTGCAGTGATAGGGCGGGGACCATCTTCCACCTCCAGTCTTGTCTGGAGAACATCGATCCAGTCTGATGCTGCTGTGGCTACAAAATGTCCAAAGGTCATCATGTCTGAGTGGTGTCCCGGATTTGTTCGCTTACGACAGAACAAAAAGGGAGGAGAAGAGGAATTTGTACTGGAGATGTGGGAACAGCCTTGCCTCATTTTTATATTAGCTTTGGTTTAGTCTTTAAAAATTTAAACTCAAAAAGCAGCTCAGCCTTTGCTTAGCAGTTTGCTGTAAGTCAGTACAGAGATGACGCCACAGGGAAAGGAGGAACGTGGAGCTCAGCTGGCTTGTTTGGCAAGTGGACATCTTACTCTAGAGCAGTGTATGCTCAGCTGCCTTGTAGCCACTTCTGTAGAGTTCCATTTGGGAACCCAGTGCAGCTGGGCTCCCCACAGCCTCTGCTCACCTATGTCTCCCTGTTTCTCTTGCCCCCAGGTGTCAGCAGTGCCAACTGTGCTGGCTATGAAGAACGGAGACGTTGTGGATAAGTTTGTGGGCATAAAGGATGAGGATCAGCTGGAGGCATTCCTCAAGAAACTCATTGGAGCCTGAAGTAAAAGGGTGGCTGTACCTCTCCTCTGGACATGTCCATGTTGTGCATTCCTTACCTGGGAGAGCTGAGGGCAGGTCATCTCCCTGCCCTGTACAACCTGGGGGTTTCTTCTGGTTTGGTGATCTTAGGAGACGGACAGTGTCGTAACCCTTCCCTCCCTCCCCCCCTTCTCGTGAGCAGTAGTTGTAAAGGGCATTGAGGAGCAGGGCTGCTTATTCTCAAAATAGGGAATGTGGCTGGAATTAGGAGCCTGTGTTTATCAGCCAAGAGCTGACGTGCAGAGCTGCTGCTGCTGAGTTAAGACGAGGAATGTTTTTCTCTTTGCCTCACATCTGATAGCCCAGAGCAGAGGGCAGCTGCTCCCTGCAAGATGATGGTACATACCTGCCCTGGGTGGGTTCATTTAAAGCTGAGAATGCCTCTGCCTTGCCTGTGAAACTTGTCTCTTTGTTTCTCTGTCCTTATGTTGCAGGGACGGGTACAACTCCTCTAAAAATCCGTGGGCTCCCATCATAATTTTATAAGAGAAAATATGGAGAAGTATTTTATGGATCTCCTTTTGTATGCTTGCAATAGAGAACTTTATCGGTCACTGCTGTCTGGCTGGAGAATAAAACTTGAGTCTTAGAAATCACAGGGAAGTCCCTTGTCTGTCCAGAGAGGTGGAGAGGGAGTATCAGCAGCACAGGGGGCTGGTTTCTGATGATGAGTTGGGAGAGTGCAGGTTATGACTTGATCCCTACTAAAAGGTAATGTGCTGAAAAACAAAGTAGGAGATTACTTTTAGGGCTTTCATTGCAACTTCTAGGACCCCCTTTGTGTTCTGCTGGATCCAGGGCAACAGAGGTAGAACTTGCCTCTCACATGCAGAGGAGCAGCTGCTCATTGTGCACAAGGAACCTGAGCTGTGCTTGCTCCCCCCATGCTTTTCTCACTCCTTTCCTGCCTGTGGAGCCTGAGAGCCTCCCTCTCCCTTTTGTGTGTTAAGTCTGCTCGCGCAGGTGAGCCCTGCCAGAAGGCAGCCTTGACTTCAACTGCCCTGACCTTTGGACTATGCGTGCCAGTTTTGTGCTCCTATTGCAAGAGCCTTCAGCCATTCCCTCCTCTTCCTCCTCCTCATATGCACCTGTTTCCAGCCAGCCTGGCTTCTGAGTGCTTGTAGGCAGAGTACAGCACCAGCACTGATGCCTACTGTAATGTTTAATTCCAGTTTGCTTATCTGAGCTGCATGAGAACATTGTAAGTGCTTAATAACCACGTACAAGCTGCTTTTTTTTTTCCTCCACAGCTTCTGATTCCTTCAGTCACTCTTAAATCTGCTTTGGCTCTGTTCCATTTCACCTCCCTGGCATAGGTTGCTGTGAGCAGTGAGGAAATTTTTTTCCTGCACCTTTGCAATGACGATTTATGACCTTTGAAGGAGCCAGGGGAGTGGTGATCCAAGTCCTGCTGGCAGTGCAGTGCTGCTGGTGTCACTGCTCCCACCTGCTTCTGTCACCCCTGGGGCCTGGGCAGCAGCACGAGGTGGTGCTGGTCCCCTGAGATGGGTGCCTCCCCATCCGGGCTGGGCTGATCTCACCCCTGGCATGCTGCTAGAGGTGATGTCACTTGGATGTAATTTGGTTAAGAACTGTCGGTCAGTTGTGATCAATAAAACCTGGCATTTCATTTTATTTTGGAGATCACAGAAGCCATGCTGCTCCTGTCCTCCCTGTGTTTCAGGATGGGCAATTTCCCCTGCAGTTTCGGTGTTCCTGCTTGGTAAACACTTCTAGTAAAGGCTCTCCATTTTCCTGCATGAGCAGGAAAAGTAGGGGAACAGCGTCACATACCCGACAATAGTCAACTTTTTTGCCTTACCATCCCACAGAACAGGAAAAAACACAGTGACTTTGCATTGTGTAATTACGGGGCAGTATAAATTAGTTATTTTATCGCTTCCTTCTAAGGAAAAGCCGAGCTAAAGTGTCATTCAGCTATTAAAGTGCCAGCACACTTCAGAGTGCATTATATGAAAGCCACAACTGTTTCTTTGAGATAAATGCTGAAGATCCACGTACATGGTGCCCTGTGGGAATCCATCAGAACATCGTAACAAGTGGACAGGAGGAGGAGAGTTTTGGGAACAGTTTGAGATTCCCTGAGCGCTTTGCAAGGTTTTCACAACAGGACAGGACTCAGAGCACAAGGATGCCAGATTCATAATTCAGTTCCCTGTTTGCCATCGGCTTGGGGAGGCTTCAGGTATTCCCACAGCAGTGTGAATAACAGAGGATGTACAAGTGGGAAGCACTACAAGCAGTGTATTTACATAGTGGTTAAAAGCAATTTTCATGCCACCTGGATGTGATATTGGTCTTTCCCAACTGAAGAGAGCTGAAGCAATGGGTAATGCCTCAGCAGTAGCTGTTTTTCTATGTCAGCTGGGAAAATGTTTCCTCTAAGCTTAGTCCAGGAAGGATGCAGTTTGTTTTCCCTTTTGGAGGTAAGCACATCCAGTGCTACTCTGATCTGTTAAGTATTTGCTTTCTCCTGCCCGAGCCTGTCTATATTTTACAGTAGCTTTCTCAGCTCTTAATATTCCTTGTTGCTGTTGTAAGAGGACATGGGGGTCACTGCCTTCTCGGGGGGAGCAAAGCTCAGCTAAACCCACTTCTCCTCCCTGTGTGTGTTTTGAACCTAACACCAAGATTCCCCCAAAAGTCAGGTACTCTGTCCTCAGAGTCTTGTCCAAGGTGCCTGATTCCAGGCAAGCGTAAGTTTTCCATTTGTTTCTGTAGGCTTTACACTTGAATCAAGCCCTAACACAGCTGCTCCTTTCCCAAAGATGTTTGCGCCTGCCTGCTGAACTCCCAAGTTAATCTTCAGCTGCTCTGGGTCATAGTGAATATCTCCAAGGAGGGAGATCTGTGCGATCTTCTCTGCTAAAGGTGCTATGCCAGGACCAGCTTCAAGAGCTGGTAGATGATGAAAAATTCAGGTTGCCTGGCTTGCGGCACAGAGAGGGCTGTGTATATGTGGCCCTTTGAAGGGGACAGTTTGGTTCCAGTGAGGTCTGACCTCACCTGCCCAGCCAGTAAATCCTTTGCTTTGTCAACAAATATGATTCCTTCTGTGCAGAGAACAAAACAAAGACCAGTTCCATGTCAACAGGACACTGACCAGCCCTAGGCAGGGCCTTTCACCAGCCTGGCCAGGCTGTTTACCCTAACAGTTTGTTAATCACTTTGAGCTTTCCCTCACACACCTCGTTTTCCCCATCCAAGTAATTACAGGATTCAGACAGAATCAGCAATTAAACTCTCCAGCTCTGCAAGGCTGTTAGCAACGTTAAGCTCAGTGTTGTTCAGAACTGCTGCTGAATAGTGGCAAGTTCTTGCTGTGAGTTTCCCGCAAGTTAAAGAGTAACAGCTGCAATATCCTAGGCAATAAAAAGATAAGATTAAAAACTACCATAGGCTTTACTTCCAGACTAAAACCAAGTTAGATCACCTATTACACAGTCCCATCCTACTTACCTGCCCCTGCAACACACCCAAGCTCAAGTTGTGGTTTAACCCCAGCTGACAACTAAGTACCGTGCAGCCACTTGCTCACCCCTCTCCTGGTGGGATGGGGAGAAGAACCAGGATTAAAAAAAGGTAAAACCTGTGGGTTGAGATAAGAACAGGGAAATAAAATAAATAATACAACAATACTTGGTAATGAAAAGGGAAACAACAAAAAGAGAAAAACCCCAGAGAAACAAGGGATGCACAACCCAGTTTCTCACCACACACTGACTGATGCCCAGCCCATCCCTCAGCAGTGATTGGCCCCTTCCAGGTAACTTCCCAGTTTATATATTGGGCATGGTGTTCTATGACATGGAATATCTCCTTGACCATTTCAGATCAGCTGTCCTGGCCATGCTCCCTCATGGTGTCTTGTGCAGCTCTTCACTGTCAGAGTACAGCAATCTGAAAAGTCATTGATTTAAAGTAAGTACTACTTAGCAACAACTACGACACTGGTGTGTTATCAACATTATTCTCATACCAAATCCAATACACAGCACTGTACTGGCTACTAGGAAGAAAATTAACCCATTTACCGTCAAAACCGAGGCCAATGTCCATCACCACACATGTGTGGTATCCTGCCACCCTTGTCAAGGACATGGGGTGTACTTGTGAGCTTTGTGGTTTCTCAGCCTCTGCAGCTCTCTAATTTCAGCAACACTTTTCCTCTTAAAACCTTTTTCAGGCAAAAACCAAAGATTGCAACTCTCAGGATGAGTGGTAGCCAGAGGCTGGATGTGGGGTCAGATAGGGCTGCTGTGCTGAGCCATGCCTGGTTGCTTTTTTCATCAGTATGCATTCTACCACTCGGGGAAGGATGGAGGCAGGAGCAGCAGGGGAAACCCCAATTTCTTACACCCAGAGGAGCCAAATGGGTGGAAAACGGGGGCCTCTAGGGAGAAAATGTGTCACCCCACAGCCCAGTGGGAATGGAGGGAGGAGAAACCCTGTGGCTGCCTTCCTGGTGGCAAAGGGTTCCTGATAGAGGGGGACACTGGAGCTGCTCATGTCATGTGGGTGAAGGACAGCTGGCAGCTGCAGGCAACAGGGCAGCACCCAACTTCCCATCTGCTTACACTGACTTCCTAGGCCCTCATAATCCAAATAATCACAATAAAAATGCACTAAAATTGATGGGGTTCCTCCGTGGTGTGCAGCCTCTGTGAAGTAAGGTCCCTGTACATATATATACGTGTTTATCCACTCACATACTCTTGTTGTGTGTTGTGGAGAGTGCCGGGAGCTTCTGGGTCTCACAGATATCCCCAGCAGCTGTAGCTGCTGACAGAAGAGGACAGGAGCCAGCCTGCTGGCTCTCCCACCCAAGGGAAGGCTGAGCTCCCAGTACCCTTCTCAGCTACTACACACTTCTCATCCTCTGCTGCTAAAGGCACCCTAGCATCATGTCTCCTAGGAGAAGACAAGTGGTTGAGCAATTTCCTGAAAAACAGGAAATTTTTCAGTGAGAGCCCTCAGAAACATTGACTTCAAGTCATCCAGAGGGTACAAAATGCACCAGAGATTTCGGTGTTTTCCAGAGATGGTGACCTCTGGTCACCCGCTTGGCTCCCGCTCCTCCATGTCGGTCTCACACAGCTGGCAGCGAGAGGGTGTTTTCCCCACCCGGCTCTGCACTCGTTGATTCATGGCCTCAGGAAGGAGAGGATCTGCATCCCCCGAGGTTGCTTTCTGGCTCCATCATGAGGCAATAACTCTTTCCCTGCAGGACCCGTAGCCGCGGGCGCAGGGACCACTTGGCTCCATTCCTTGCCGGTGGCTTTACTGGTGGGGCCACGCCACGGGCAGCAGCAGGTGACAAACCCAGCCCTGGGTCTGGCCAGGGCAGTGGCAGGGATGGAGATGAAGTGCTGTACTGCATGCAAGCTCCAGCACGCCCATGTATTTATATAACATCATTTTGCTTTAATCTGGCTTTTTTAAGTAAACTGTCAAAGCCCTTTCTGTTCACTTGTTCACCAGGAACCTTTTTTTTTTTTTTTGACTGCGAGTTTCATCTTTCAAAGCTTGGCTAGTTTTGAGTGATGCCGAAAAACCCCTCTTACAGTGGCTTTTT